ACATTTTGAAACTAAGATCGTGGTAGATGCTGCAGCTGAGGGTCAAGTGTTGGAGAAAAGCTTTGACGAGATATATGCATTGTTGAACAAATTTTCCAAGAGCAATCCGGATTGGCAAGGAGAGATGGACAGACACACAGTGCAAAAGTCTGCATGGGTTCTTGAGCTAGATGTCGTCTCAGCATTATCAGCGCAGATTGCTACACTGGCCAATCAAGTCAACCAGATGAACTTGAGTATCAACAAGCAACAAATACAACCGGTACAATAGGTTCAAGCTTTTTGTGAAATATGTGGAGAGGGGCACACGAGCGACATATGCCCCGCAAACCCAGAATCTGTCTCCTTTGTGGGTAATTCAAATAGGGGCCAAACAAACCAATATGGGAACACTTACAATCCCAACTGGAGGAACCACACAAACTTCTCTTGGGGTGGAAACCAGGGCACTCAGAATCAATACAGGCCTCAAGCACCTCAACAGCAATATAGACCACCTCAGGTTGAACAACAAGCGAGTCCTACAAGTCACCTTGAAGACATGTTAAAAAAATGATGACTGAACAGCAAGCCCTCGCCACAACAGTGAGAAATTTGGAGCGTCAAATGGGACAGCTTGCTAGTGCTCAAAACACTAGACCAGCTGGAGCTCTTCCAAGTGACACTGAAGCCAATCCTAGGGCGGCCCTTAATGCCGTATCGTTGAGGAATGGGAGACAACTAGAGGAAGTTCTATCTAAAAAGAGGAAACAGGTGACTTTTAATGAGATGCCAGCCATTGTAGAATCAACATCAGAGAAAGCCAAGGAGCCAGAGAAGCCAGCTGGAGAGGCGGTGGCTGAGCAATCCCCACAATTGGTTGCAAGGCCACCACCTCCATTCCCTCAAAGACTGCAGAAATTACGAGATAATACCACATATAAAAAGTTTCTTGATATCTTGAAGCAGGTACAAATTAATATTCCATTGGTTGACATCTTACAAGAAGTACCCAAATAAGCAAAGTACATCAAGGACATTGTGGCGAATAAAAGGAGGCTGACCGAGTTCGAGACTGTGGCACTCACTGAGGAGTGCAGTTCCAGAATTCAAGGCAAGTTACCTCAGAAATTGAAGGATCCAGGTAGTTTCACTATCCAAATCACGATTGGTAAACATGCTGTTGGGCGAGCTCTATGTGACCTTGGAGCAAGCATCAATTTGATGCCGCTATCTATATTCAGACAATTGGGGTTGGGTGAACCACGCCCAACAACAGTTATTTTACAGTTAGCTGACCGCTCCCTTGCTCATCCTGAGGGAGTGATTGAAGATGTGCTAGTTCAAGTAGGGTCTTTCGTATTCCCAGTTGATTTCATCATCCTGGATTACGAGCCTGATTAGGAAGTCCCATTTATTTTGGGGCGTCCATTCTTAGCTACGGGCCGAGCTATTATTGATGTTTGTGAAGGAAAGATGACGATGAGAGTGGGTGACCGAGTGGAGGTCTTCAATGTTTATAGAGCACTCAAGTTACCAGCCCAGTATGAAGAGTTATCCATGATCTCTGTGGTGGAAAGTGATGCCACATCGTTAGTACCCTATATGAGCCCTGCAGATCCTGTTGAACGAGTATTGATTGGGGACGTAGAAAATAGTGAAGATGAAAGGATGGGAGAAATTGAGCAAGTGTTGGATATGTCATGCAGTTATGTACATGGGGTTAGAAAATTTTAAGAGTTGGACAGGCCTGTCACTCTGACCCTCCCCAGGCCATTTATTGAAGAAGCTCCGAAGCTAGAACTCAAGCCACTTCCAGCGCATCTGCGCTATGCTTATTTGGGGAACTCAGAGACACTGCCCGTGATTATTTCATCTAGCTTGACCAGCACTCAAGAAGAAAAATTGCTTAGGGTCCTCCGCGAGCATAAAAGGGCCATTGGGTGGATTATAGCTGACATCAAGGGTATTAGTCCATCGTTTTGCATGCATAAAATCTTTCTGGTGGACGGACACCGCCGTAGTATAGAGCAGCAAAGGAGATTAAATCCCATTATGAAAGAGGTGGTGAAAAAGGAAGTAATCAAGTTGCTCGATGCAGGTATCATTTTTCCTATTTCTGATAGCAACTGGGTAAGCCCAGTTCAATGTGTGCCCAAAAAGGGAGGAATGACTGTAGTTGAGAACGAGAAGAATGAGCTAATCCCCACTGGCACTGTTACGGGCTGGAGAGTCTGCATTGATAATAGAAGGCTCAATAAGGCAACTCGTAAGGATCACTTCCCACTCCCATTCATTGACCAAATGCTAGACAGGTTAGCCGTGCATGAATATTACTACTTCCTTGATGGTTATTCAGGATACAATCAGATTGTGATATGCCCAGAGGATCAGGAGAAGACTACTTTTACTTGTCCTTATGGCACTTTTTCCTTCAAGCGAATGCCATTTGGTCTTTGTAATACACCAGCCACATTCCAGAGATGCATGATGGCTATTTTCACCGACATGGTGGAAAAATTCGTGGAAGTGTTTATGGATGATTTTTCAGTTTTTGGGCCTTCTTATGATGATTGCTTGAGGAATTTAAGCAAGGTGCTAGCCCGTTGTGAAGAAACAAATCTGGTATTAAATTGGGAAAAGTGCCATTTTATGGTACAAGAAGGCATCGTGCTGGGTCACGGAGTATCTAGGAGCGGCATTGAAGTTGATAAAGCGAAGGTGGAGGCGGTTGCAAAATTACCTCCACCTATCTCAGTGAAGGGTGTCCGGAGTTTCTTGGGACATGCGGGTTTCTATCGGCGCTTTATTAAAGATTTTTCAAAAATTGCTACTCCTTTGTGCAGGCTGCTTGAAAAAGATGTCACTTTCAATTTTGATGATGCTTGCCTCAACGCATTTGAGGAACTTAAAAAGAAGTTGGTGACTGCCCCCATTATTGTGGCACCTGATTGGTCTCTACCATTTGAACTTATGTGTGATGCGAGTGACCTTGCTATTGGACAGTGCTAAGGCCATCAAACGATGTAAGGACAGGTGAAAAATTGAGGAAAAATTCCGCCCAGGTGCGCGCCCGCGCTATTGGCCGCGCATCTGGGCGCGCTAATATGCACAGGTTCTGCCTGGGCCGTGCACCTGGGCGCGCTTCTGAACGCGCTATTAGCGCGGTCGCGCATGTGAGCGCGCATCTGGGCGCGCGAATTTCTCCATGATTCTGACTTGGCCGCACTAAAACTAGCGCGACCGCGCATCTGGCCGCGCTAGTCCGTCAAATTGTCGCCAGTTTTTTTAGTAGTTTAAGTTTCTCTCTTTATTTCCTTCTTTTATTTTGTTTAGGTTTTAATCCCCCCCCCCCTTTTTTTTCTAATTCTCCCGTTAAAACAAAACCCCAGCCCTTCTCTCCTCTCCCCATTCCAACAAAAATAAAACCCTAGCTCCAATCCTTTCCCCAATCTCACGACTCTTTCCCCATCCCAGGCTCCCCATTCTCCTTCTCCCCTCACCACCATTGTCCATCACAGGTATGAACTCTAGTTTCTTTTTCTTCTCTTTTTCTTCTCTTTTTGTGTTTTTATTTTTTTCAGATTTTGTTTATATTCAAATACTTTAGTTGTAGTAGTTGTACCTAGATTTTGTGTAGAGAATTTGGTACAATAAGTTGTGGTGATGGTGGGTGATAACTGTGGGGTGGAATGCCACTTGATTTGTGATTTTGGTGAAAGTATGTGGTTGATTATTGTTCTAAAAAGCTTAAAAGGGGTTGTGAAGGCCTAATGCCCACAAGGTGTTCGTGGAAAGGCCCGAATGAACGTGATTATGTAGTTTGTGACCACCTATGCGTGTGAAGTCTGAGTAACCGCATTGCGTCACAAATTTTAGTT